TGAAACGTGAACGTCGTCTTTGACTTGAATGTTCCTCAGCCTCTTGAGTCTTGTTGAGATGTAGTTTAGTGTCGGAGTCCGGGGAGGTCCACCGTTTCGCGCTTCGCATTTCGGATCTTGGAATCGAACGCGGCCTTCTGGAAGCCTTGAGTTTAACGTTGGTAGGCATATATCATATCGCGACGCTGTTCTAGGTTTCCCCTTCCTAAGGGAGAGAGAGAGGTGGGCGCAGAATGTCGTCTCGGCGAGCCTTTGGGTTTGCTCGGATCTCAGCAGCTTTCCTTCCCCCACGCCACGAACAGATCCCAGAGACCCGAACCAGCGAGCTTCGAGCTTTAGACTCCTCGTTCGCCTTCCAAATGCCCCTTTCCAGCGGCTGAGGGGAGAGGGGGGAGCGGAGAGATGACCAGAAAAAAGAATACATCCAGAGCAGAGAGAAATCGAGAGTGCAGGTGTAGTCTGCAGATAAGAGGGTTCTATGGCGAGTAGCGAGAAGCGTCAGTGATCAAGAAGGGGGAGGAGTATTCCTGCGCCGTGCTCCTTTCCTTGTATTCAGAGCGATGCACCAGCGACGGCGACGAGAACAACCCAGGACTGCTGCGCATTGTAGGGTGTGGGATTCGACGTCAATTGAATCCTCCGAGTCCTTCCTTGAATACGACAACGACGACTTCAACCCCTCGATGTAGCGTTTAGACGTCCTTCCCTTCCCCTCCTTCCTTTTAGCGAAATACTTCCTATCATCCAACACAAGGGAAGAGATAACCAGCGACAAGAAAGAAAGGAGAAAAAAATCCGGAAGAGAAAATTTCCAGCTTGAGTATCGAGCATCGAGTTCAAGGTCGAGAAAGTAGACGACGACGACCGGTCTGAGGGAAAGGAACATACCGGAACCGCAAGGTCAAAGCTGGTCGATTGGTCCCTCTTTGCAAAGAAAACCAACATCGCTCCTTCCCCGACAATATGCAATGCTTGTACGGTTTACACATGGTCCTGGTCGATTAGTGGTGAAATCATCTCGTTGTGGTTTTAGATGTTGCCTAACAACCGAGAAGCCGAGGGCTCGACTCCCTCCCGGGACATGAAAAAGAATGCTATATAGAATTTTTTCTTCTCTGTTCTTACGTTCCCAAGATTTCCTTCCTTCCCTCGCATTCCACTCATCAAAAACAGAAAGGAATAAAAGTACAACTTCGACTTGGTATTCGGTATATACAGGACATGGGACATGAGATGGGTCATCATAAATCATAAAACGAGAGAGCGAGCGGCGAGCGGGATATCAGCAGAAGGAACACCATATGAACCAAAGGTACCAAGAAGCGGGTAGATGAAAGCGTGATATACAGAAAAAGAAAAAAATATGCAACGTGCGAGATGGAGATGGCGATATGGTTATGAGTTGTATGTAGAGCGGTAAATAGGTCTGGAGCTAGAGCGGGATTACGAAGGGAAGAGATGGGGGTTGCGGTGGAACGGTGTTTCATGGTGGATAGTGGATAGTGGGGTTGCTGATGGGACTAGATCTCATGCAGAGTAGCTGGACATAGCTAGCACGCATCCGAGCGGGGTCTCGGCCCCATGCTGAACTGAGAACGCCGCCGGCGGACAGCGAGCAGCGAGCAAGCAAGGCAAGAAAACGAGCGACATCGTAAACCATAAAGTTCGTATGAACAAGGCAAACGAGCGAAAACCCAAAAACCCAAAAAACCCAAAACCCAAGCAAGACCCACACTTCATTGCAACAACACCCAAACAGCCATAATCAACCCCACCAGACAAAGCACATTCCCCACCACCTCCCTATCCATCGGTATCGGCGGTGGATGACTGCTCTTCTTCGTCTTTGTCGTCGTCGTCTGCTGGGAATGATGCAACTCCCACGTCTGACTCTGTTCTGTCGACGCCGACGTCGAACTCGTACTATCGTCTTCCGAAGAAGAAGAGGAATCGGATTCGGGTGAGGTACTGCGTACGTTGATGTTGATACTAGGAACAACACCTCCCTCGTTCCTCGATATCGGTCGACTGTTGGCTACCGAAGGTGGGGGTGCGATCGGTTTCGACGTCGTGGTAGAAGAGTTGGAGGCGGAAGGTAATGTAAGGATGCCTTGGTTGGGTGTGTTGCATGAGGGGCATTTGCCTTCTGATGAAGGGTGTTGGAGCCACTAAGAGAAGGGAACAGAGTCAGTGAATGTAATGCGGATGCGGTGATAGGGGAGGGTGTGGAAATGTAACGTCGGATAAGGTAGAGATCATACAGCAAATACAGATATGAATAACGAAAGCTGGAATGGAAGCGAAGCTAGATGGATAGATCGACGACGAAATAAGATAGATGGGGATAACCAGGCGCCTGGGTGTGTGCGCGCTCGAGCACCAGACCCAAGCTCAAGACCCAAGGTGAAAAAGCTTCGCTGGCAAAAATCGCGTAGAAGTGGGTGGGGTGCACACCACACAGAGGAACAGAAGGGGCAGGAACAGAGTAACGTGGCAAGGAACGGGAAAACGGGAAGAGAAAGGCACATAGGCACTCACATCAACAATATGCTCCGTACAATACAACTTTCCACAACACACCGTTCGCGCTGGGTTCACCGCGTTCTCACAGCTAACCCCGGTCGTAACAAAGATCAGTTGACCATCACCGAAAGCGGAGCAAAGAAGGACTCACCAAATCCCACAATCCCTATCAACACCCCTCGTCGCATTCGTCAACGTATTCCTCCGCCTATGCTTCTCATTGAAAGACGCCGAACGCCATAGTCTCCCCCTAGGTTCCTCTCCAGTCGCCGTCGTCGAGGGTTGCAACTGCACAGGCAACGTCGCAACCGGGTGCGACTGTGTAGCCAGGTAACTCTCATCCAGAGCGTTCGGACTCCGAATCCCACTAGGTGTCGTCCCACGACTACTAGGCCTGCTCAGAATGAAACCAGGGGTACGAGGCGTCTCAGCACCGAGGTTGAGTCCGTATTTGGTGTATTCCTGAGTCTGTGATTCGTTGTCGTTGTCGACGTCGTACCGGTCTGGGTAGAGCAACGAGAGGGAGAGTTGTTGTTGTTGAGACTGAGAAGAGTTATTTCGGCGGTGTCGAGCCATTGTTGTTGTTGTTATTCGTGTTGTTGTGAGTTGGAGTAATAGGGAGCCAGCGTAACAAGGGGGGGTTCATATATAAGAGGGGCATTTTTTTCAATTGAATCTGATTCGGGGAAACCGTGTGCCCTCGTGACCCGTGACCCGAAATTAGACCCCGGGTGATCATTGTTACGATATTAGACAGAACCGTCGGAGTTCGGGAGGAACATTCCGTCGTCCATTCATTCATTTCCTGGCTTTAGACCCCAGGTTTGCTGTCCTGGGGTCCCTTGCGTTCTATTCCCCAGGTTCTCGTGTGGACATGAAAGCCTTCAACAGTCAACTGAAAGAAACGAAAAAGATTGGATGGAAAACGACTAGTGGCTTCGATTCCTGAACATGTCAACGCCGGCGGCGGCACGCAACCAACTCCGTCCGCAACAACCGATTATACTGCCCCGTCGGCGCGGTCTGGAGTCGTTCTTACTCATGGGCTGGAACTCAACAAACCAATTCTGGGAATCTGGAATGACATCCACAGCACAGCCTCTCCCTTTTCCTATGACGGGAGGTGGGCCTCGAAGCGGTCTGTCTAAGCGGGAACAACACTGAACAAGACGAGGTGTAGTTTCTAGATTCTGCATCGATTCGGAGACGATAAAGGACTTTTCATTTCACCGAGGTTTTCGTTCGTCATCGTATGTTGAAAGTCTCAGCTGAGCTTCTTGTTTTCTTTTCTCCAGTCCTGCTTCCTCCTTGCATCCCGACAATCGACAATCGTCATCTCGAGAACATGACATCCCTCGAAATCGTAATCACCTGGCACTCGCCAGGTCGCCAGGTGACGACCTTTGATTCTATTCCATTCTGTCTGATTCATCACCAGTGACCACACACAGCTGGCACCTAATACCGCTAACAATGCTCCCTCATAGCTCCCTCATAATCGCACTAAACGACTCCTCCCTCCCTCGCCTCTCGAGATCCCAAGCCTTCTGATGTCATCTTTTCGCCAGCTGTAAATCTCTCCAAGGACCAATTTTCGTCTAATTCCAACTCAATTCAAACGGTAAAAAGAATGTTGGTTGGAAGCGAAGGGCCAAAGCTTCTTCTTCATCCCCACCTTGTTCTCCACTTCATAACCGACGTCATCGTACTCTTGAGCTTACTCTTCCCCTTCCCCTTCTTACAAGTTTCGAACAACGAATCTACCCTCCCAACAATTCAATATTCAATAATTCTACTTGGTTCTTGGAGCTCCCCATAAATAACCGACGCGGAGCTCACCCGACCTAACGGGATGGAGACGAAGCTTTACCGTTTACGAGCCCCGGTGAATCGTCCAATCAGAAGAGCCTGATGACGAAGGGCAACGGGATGATTACGATTCGTCAGGTCAGCATAAAGTACGAGACGGAACGAGCGTGGGGTACACTCTGGCTTACGAGCAACCAGTTACAGCGTCGGAGGGGGGGGGGCTCTTACAAAACACGAACGCCGATGGAGATGTGCTGGGGTATAGACAGTGGAGGCATGCATCATCGTTGAAGCAAGTTTTCTCATTCGATGCGGGTTACAGGATCCAAGGGCGCCGGCCAAGCTTCAAGGCTGCTACAGGAAGGGCGGCTCCCGGATCTTGGAATTCGAAGCTTGGAACGATACACCCAGTCAAGTCACGTACATATCGGTATTCCTCGTATTCCTCATACATACATAAGTAGCGCATTGGGATGATAGAGATCTACCTATACGAATTACTGTATGAACGCCTGAACGCCTGGCATCATCAATCACTGACAGCGACTATGTACTCTTATTTCCATCCGCCATCCGCAGGAGACCTAAAGAATGCATGCCAGATTTTAAAAACCCATCCGAGCTCGCACAACGTGAAAAAAAAAAGTGGTTCGACGAATCTGGCTAGATGTCTCGGGAGGGAGTCGAGCCCTCGGCTTCTCGGTTGTAACGACATACAGCAAACCACAACGAGATGATTTGACCACTAATCGACCAAGACGTTCCTTTCAACGGCGCGTCCGCATGACAAGGGGCAAAGCTGTCAATCCCAACGATGGCACCAGCCGCCAGGCACAGTGGTGTAAACTTCGATCACGGTTTTTCTTACACCACCCCTCCTTGCAAACTACCGATTAGCACCAAGCATCGAGGAATAAATCAAACTCGTTCCTCATCCTCATCCTCATCTGAAAAAAAATAATTCTGGTGGGAATTATCCATGTCTCGGGAGGGAGTCGAGCCCTCGGCTTCTCGGTTGTAAGGTTAGAAGAGAAGGTACACCACAACGAGATGATTTAACCACTAATCGACCAAGACGTTCCTGAGTCCTAAATCAAGTCAGTGCTGCTACCAAAACCTTCCCAACCCGATCGAATATTTGTGGGCGTGAGCTTTGAGATTATTGGAGGCACGGAGTCTGGACCCACACTGAAGGGTTTGATCATGTTGGACTAGATAAACGCCCAACATTGAAGCTCGAGTCGAAACTCGGAAGTATCTTGAGTCATTTGTTGATAACATGGCCAAGTGATGCATATGAGAGGTTCGCAGGAGGGTTCGAACGTACGGATGGTGAGGTTTCGGTATATGTACTAGGGCCTGAGTCAGGTGGAATTTTGGACCATTGGCACGACGAAACGGCTGCAAGCCTATGATACTATTTTCGATTGAGCTGCAGCAACCGATTGTTGGCGTCATGTTCAACCTCTGGTTCTAAGAAAAGAGTTCCGTAACGTTCAATGCGCGGGGGAGAGCCCCGTTCTTGCTCTAGAGCCCACCTACATGACGACGGTGGGTGCATTCGTTCCATCTCTCCCTGCCTGCGGGAGATGTAACATCCCCGATCGCTGTTACGACCTGATAAGAATTCCTGACAGAGGAGACCAAGTAAGATAGTTCTCCAAGTATAATCCCTTCCATCGGGCCTCCTCACCAGTGCGGCCGCACCCTGAAATAGTCCCAACCATCCATAAGCTAATAAAGTCCAGGCCCCGCCGGCGACTGGTCGGCCTACTGGAAAATGAGTCATACCACCGCTCGAGGCGAGGCTACGGCCATGATACTATACACCAATAATGGCTCAGGGCATCACGACTGTATTCAACAGTACCGGCGGCGATATAACACAAGGTTATGCTAATCTGCCCTCTTGACGCGTTCCGGTATCGTTTGCACCTGCGCGGCTCAGCCGTCAAAAATAAATGTTCCTAAAGATCCAAGGGCGGGAATCCTGGTTTTGTCAGGTATGTAATAATCCAATACATCCTCCTGTGTACTTTCAGCGGATACCCTGAGCCCTATCGATGGAATTAGCTTCGCTGAACGAAAGGTCAAGGTAGCCATTTTGATTTCAAAACAGCCACTTGAACTTTACGGCGGAGTGGATGTGGCTAGACTCACGTCAGAGCGACAAAAACACTTAGGTAGTCGCGGTCGTGTCTGAGCTGCATGCCGTGTATGTGACTACTGCAGGTGGCCAAGTCCGGCGTCTGCTGATCTAGCGGTGGAAGTTTGGAGAATTGTGAGTGGTTGGTGAGCTCATCTGTCAATACTCGAAGAACCTATTTACACTCTCCTTGGGTACTACACATTCGTAGAAGCTTATCTGAGTACTTCATCACTTGGATTTTCAAGGTATTTCGCTTTGGGTAATCTCATACAATTTGTGATAATTAATTTTGGACTTTTACTTTCAGACATTCAGCCCCCTGTACAAAAACATCGCGTGAAGGGAACCGATATGAGTATACAAGAAGTGTGTAGATGTGAATATCGCACTTACCCTTACACAGTTCTTCTTATTTCAAGTTGTATTCCTCCTCCCCACGTCCAGACCACTCTATCATCACTTCTTGGTCCCCCCTCCATTCTTGTTCAAGTACTGCTCGAGAACGCTATCCCATGCACTGAGTCCAGAGTTCGGTTTACTAGGCGCAGGAACGCTATGGAAACTCTCAGGCGTTGGGCTCACAGGAGCCTGATAGAACCACTTCGTATTCCAGACGTTATCCGTGATATCTTTGTTCTCGTATGTTATCTGCAGTAGCAGTAGTCAAGCACTGAAGAACTAGGAGGGAGCGAGTGACGAACGAACCGATTCTATTAGGACGAAAGCTTTGCCTTCACGAGGGGCACCAGAATCAGAGCCGTGGGAGATGTAAAACTCGATCGGATAGCCATCGTTGACGACGTAGAACCTGTAGAGAGTCGGACAGGTGAGTGGACCTCTGACAATGACGATGAAAGGGGAGGCGGGAGGCGGGGCGGGCGGACGATAAACACGCACATGACGGTCTCTCTATGATATTCATGACTGTATTCCTTTCCCCACGTCAACTTGGTCTCGTCCCAAACCGTATTCGGTGGTACAGTTTCCCCTTTGATCACAATTGCACTCGGGGTGAGCAAACCGAACTCCGCCCTACAAAAAGGGGGGTTGTCAGTCTGAAATACGCCACATCGAGACGCAACGAGTACCAATCGGCTTCGATAGTGAGCGTGACCTGCGTCTTGTAAACCTTCGGGTTGTTGACGATAAAGTTGAACGCTTCCTCAATCCTCGGAGCAGCATTTACGATGTATCCATCCTCAGCGTTCCTCATCAACGACCAAATTTCGTCCACCACGAAGCTCAAGAGCGCAGGGTTCTGCTGGGACGTGCTGGCCCACGCTTGGAAGTTGGGCCAAGTGGGTGTCATCGCGAGAGGCCGAGCTTGATCTCTACCTCCCCCGAATACGGACTCGATTCTCTGTTTGAGGCCCAGGTATGCCTTATATTGATCTGAATCGCGGGCACCGGGATCGTACTCTCCGTGAGTCGGGATACCGTTGTAGTCGGCTCTGACGTTTCCGCCCCAGTTCGGGTTGACGGTTGGGTCTGTGGTTGGAGCCCAGAGATGCTACGAAGATATTTGGTGGGTCTGAGAGGAAAGCTGTGGCGGCTGAGCAAGGGAGGATAAAACTTACGAGCTGATAATGAGCCCCATAAGCAACCTTGGTGACAACATGCGTTCCAAACCTCTCAAAGAAGCTCTTGTACTTGTTCAGGACGTCTTGGTTCTGACCGTTGAACGGAACTGGCAACTGTTCGAGTCCCGTCTTAATACGAGGCTCGTTCAGTAGGCCGGCGTAGTCCTTCAGCATTGCGATATACTTGGATCTCGCAAAGGAGTAATACGCGTACTGAAGGTTTCTTCGGTGATGCTTCTCCGTCGCACGTCCGACAGAGGGATCTCCGGTGACAGACATGAAATGGGTACCCAGAGCGGCGTTGTTGCGGAACGCGATAGCTGCTTCGTTTCCGGTGGGGTAGTGGACGAAGTCGTTGGTTCCGCTTTCGGCTTCCAGAACAGCGATGGCCTTGGGGACATTGTATGTCGTTCCGTCTGATGTCGAGATAGTTCAATGTGTAGTTCGCAGAACGGTATACCATATTCCACTTACCGAGATCAACCGGTCGAGTATCGTCCACCTCGAAGTCAATGATACGACGGGAAGTTTGAATGGCAGCTCTCGCCTAGATGACCCAGATAATGGGAATATAGAGTGAGTTGAAAGGAATGAGGGGGGAAAGCCTCACAGATTTCGTGTCAAGGGGTGTGGTACCAATCTGAAAAGGGAATGAGCACGGATATTAACGTGATCGCAGCTAGAGTTCACATTACTTACCATATTCATGCTGTACCCAAGCGTATCTGCTGCTGGAAATTCTGCCATAGTCGCGAGAGGGAATAAAACGTGCAAAGGAAAGAGTACCCAAGCTCATTTTATCAAGGATCAGATTCGGTACCTTTTGACGTTCGTGAGATCCATCTATTGAACCCCGCAATGTTCACTTTTGAGCGAACAGTGACGGGGTCATTACTGCATGGAGTTTTTGAGGAGAACAAGGCATATCCACAATCGAAGCGGCGTTCATATGACGGCTACGATGCATTCAACGTTGTGACTGGGGTGCGACTATCATTCAAGAGTCTGACAGACCAACGACCCCATCTACCCCACCATATTAAGCGAACCGAACGGAAGGTCTGGGAGAAACTAGTGATAATGTGAGCCGACTCCAGTCGGTGATGGTGGTGGGAAGAGAAGGGTACAACAGTTCGGATGTCGTTCGGCTTAGGCGGATAAGTGCACCCCACACTCGGAAATTCTGGATTCCGGGGGTATGACATGAGTAATGGAAGACTCGAGAGGAAACAGGTCTGTACAGCCAACGTCAAGGCCGATACCCTTGATCTCCTCCGAGGGCACGATCGTTGACTGATGCTGCTGCCCTGAGCGTCATGGGGTCACCAATGAGTCGGCGATAGGACAATCAATTTATTCTTCGAGAATTCTAGATGCCCAGTCAAGTCATTCCGAGCTTTCACGGCGAGAAAGGGTCATCTCATCCAGATGTTCACCCTTGCATTCTCGATACTTACATCCAAATCAACTTAGCACCGATGCTGTAGTCCTTCACTTAGATTGAAACATTGTACAAGTCGTATTGCAGTGAAGATTTTCGGAACCAATCTGGTATTTCAATCCCGGAAATCCGGATATTGGTCGGATATCACCACTGCACCGGAACGCGAGAGAATCTGACGAGTCCCTTGGCATTATTCTCATAGGATATCTAGTGCAGAAGATTAATGTCGAGCCAGCAGTGCAGCAATGGGAAAGACCTCACCCCGTCGATTAGAACAACAGCATTGCCCATATCACAACTAAGAGTACAATCGATCGGAGTTCCATCGTTGACAATGTAGAAACTAGGAGGCTAGGTGAGAAACAAAATCGGGCAAAGAGAGAAGATAACAAGCTCGCGCCGTCAAACGCTCCTTCTGGACTTGACCAAATTGACCAACACGGACCTTGGTCTCGCTAAGTCCAATGACCTTTTGAGTCGTGGGGTTGACAGCCCAAACTCCGCAACCCCAGAATCAGATTTCGGAATAATCAGAGTGGCGACAGCACGTTGGTTTTTCTCGTTATCCGCAACGATGGCTTTGAAAGCAGCCTCAACGTTGTCAACCGCCTCCCGGACTTTCAGAACCGTGAAACAGCGACCAAAGTGGGGGTACCCCGATTGGCGTCAGGGCAGGCGAAGACTGGAAAATACTGGACGCCCACTTCTCGAATTCGGCCCAATTGAAGTTTCCTGGAGTGATGCAGTCGGCCAATGACCCATCCCCGCCGGTGAGTACACAGGGTCTGCGCAATGGTGCGGAAGATTTGGACTGGGATTCCTCGATAGCATCGGGATCAGAGTTGCCGTGGTCGTTTAGGCCACGAAGGAGCGTAGGCCCGTCGCGGTACTTGTTAGATGCCCA